GAAATTAAAAGAGAACGAAATTCAATTCTTTTTCTTTACAATAACCATCTTTGAAGAAATCTTTCAAATTTTTTTTCAATAAACTCCACAATTAAATATACGAAGACCAGATTTATATCCCTCTAAATATCTTTCATTTCGATACGATCACTATTTCCCGTGCACGTAAAAGATAACAATAATCATATATTATTAATACTAATTTCGTAATTCATCTTTTATTCGAAATTCCGTGCTAGCGTGAAGGGTAGAGAGATATATCGTTTAATGTAAATTATAGAAATCATCCTTTAAATCCCAATAATATTTCGTACCGATATTTTCGTGCGAATACACCGTAATTTAGAGTAGCGTAGAAATCAAAAACGAGAGAAGTCCTTAGTTTGCCTAAGATATCAAAAAAAGTTACGATTTAATGCGCGATAAAGATTTCTACCAATATAATGAAAATGAAAGATTAAGTACGATAAATTATATATATATATATATATAGTCGAAAGAAGTAAAAATAGGAAGAGAATGAAAGAAGAGGAGGGAGGTCGATAGAAAAATACAAATCTCGTAGTGAAATACGGAAATATTTATATACGAAATATTATCAAAAAATATTAGCCAAGATCACAAATGTTTGCCGAATTTTCTACCAACGTTTGTAAGCAATTGATGCTATTGCAAGTATTGTATAATCAGAGTGACTTCACATGAAGTGTCAATACTTCATGTAGGAGGCTATGAGGGATTGTAGTCTTCAAGCCATAGCGGAAGTTGGTTGAGTGAAACATTGAACCTCTTCCCGCGGCGTGAAGGCAGCGATACTAGGCTACCGCCGGCAGGGCATGACTCTAAGAGCCGGGACGTATCCGAAACTTGAACATCTCCGTCCTCCGCAGTTTCCGGACAAGACACAGCTCGTACATTGACCCCGTGTTTTACAACACAGCCGGACTCGCAGCTCACTTGGATGACCTCAGGCATCACATCAGAAGGAGTGTGAGGTCCAGGTTTGAGTTTACAGCTCCGGATTCAACCGGCAGTTTTTCGCACGTTTTTCGCCAGCACATGCCAGCACCGTGGTTTGTGTCAACCGAAACCGAAACAGCGCGAAAACAAAACTTGTCTGCCAAAAACAAGGCGTCTTGAACCAAGGGGCTTGTAGCGTGCCAGGAGCGCGTCATCCTGGTCGGACTCCGACTCGCCACCTTTCTGCTCGCATTTCTGTTTGAATGTAGCTGGCTGCTACGTGTTGAATGCTGCTTCTTGGATCCACGCAAGTTACAGGGCGTCTCGGGTTTCCGCTGCGTACCAAAATGCGATTCAAGCTGGTGACTGCCAGCTAGAATCTGGCATGCTTCCCGATGCTGCAACCGGAACAGTCGATGCAAGGCATCCACTCCAGGAGGTGACTGAGGGTCCAGAGCTGCCGAGACTGTGAGCGTGTTTCCGCTAGCCAGTACACCCCCAAACTACACTGAACAACTGTACCACATTGGACAACTGTGTTTACGTCCCACCAAGGATGCATGGACAACCACAGCTGAGGTAGTCGCTGCTGTGCGCGAGTACAGCTCCATCAGCTGTCCTTTTGATACCGGACCTCATTGTCGCTGAGTAGTGCATTCACAGGCATCCAGTTCCCGGCAAGTTCGATGGGTCGACCGGCATAGGCAGAATATCCAATGCAGAGTGGACCTACACACGCGCAAGTCGGAAATGGCTTTTGCGCTTCTGTGTCAAAATACATCAAGCGTCCATTCGCCACAGTCCGAAAGACGTTTCACTGCAAGGCCCGCGCTTTTTGTCCTTCTTCTTGTCCTTTTTCTTATCCTTCTTGCCTTTGCCCACCGCCTGCCGGCGAGCGGTTGGACTTTGCCATCTCGGCACCATGGGTGAACGACTCAAGCGAGGGATTGCAAGTCACCCTTCTTCGAATCTTTGGCTTTTTGAAATAACGACTCCTGCCAATCGTGCTGCTCTTTCTATACAGTATTGTCGCTGTTGTCAACATGAACACGACTGTTCTTATCGATGTAAATATGACTGTCTGTGGCAGTAGTGCGATCCTGACTACGAATACTATCCAAACTTGTGCATTCCTTGCTGACGTTAAGCTGGACTGGATGCTTTGCTGTTGCTGTAGCTTGCTAATAGCACTGCGTGCGAAGTGTCACTGCCTCAGCACCAACTGCTGCCTCCTAAACGTTGCTGTAACCATACTGGCATCCGCATCATACCTAGTTTGACTACTCTAGTGTACGGGCACAGGATCCAAAACTGTCTGCGCCGACTCGGCTGAGAGGTCTGACAGTTTGTGTGCTTCGTGTGCGGCTCCAGCAGAAGTAGGACTGACGCTGCTCCAGCCTTCCTGACTCCGAAGTTGCGAACAGCTTTTCAAGGCTGGTGGTCGGCGCGTTCTTTAATGTCGACTCAGGAACTGCACAACCTCGACACCCGAAAAAGCAACTAAGCGAGTATGAAACCTCCCGCGATACACCTGACCTGGCCTTCAGCGCTTTTTTTGTGTCGTCCTCCTGCTGAGCAAGTCGCTCGTTTCGGGTCCTGAATGTTGGAAAGCATTGACGGAGGCATCATGACTGGCTTTTTTCATGCATGTGGCAGGCAAGGTGTCTTGATACCCAAGAAATTCACTGCGTGTCGGCCGGGCGTGAGTGTCACTGAGATAGGGCCCCTGCTTTTCAAGCTTGGCAGCGTAGGTGTCAAATTCACTGGAACCCGGCACGCCTGCCTAGGAAAGGGAACACGGAAAAACGCTGCAGTGGTTCTTGGCCTCATGTCCCCAACGTCAGCCTCCTTCCAGTTTGCTTCGGCCAGCTTGTTCTTGAGCTCATCCCAAGATACACGCCTCGATGACAGATCATCAGTCAAGGCAATCAGGGCGATCATGCAGCATCTTTACGGTACACTGGCTTCGCTGTTCAATCGCCGCAAAAGCAGAAGCCACTGACGGAGATACGCAATTACATGCTCCCTTTGCTGTCGGGGATCTTCTGGTCCTTCATGATATCCATGTGTCCCAGCCTCGGCATACACACAGAATCTCCTGAACCGTGCTGACATTGACTGGCGACTTGTGCAACACCCAGTTTACTGCAGACCCAAGCCTCAGGTCAAGCAGCGCCGAGCATAGCAGCAGCAAAGCTTAATGAGACCGCGACCGATCAATAAGTACTAGCAGCTGTATCGTGCAAAACGGATTTGAGTGTCAGGCAGCACCTTTTTCTCAGGTTCCTTGCTCTTCGAGGGCCTCAGTGATAAAAGGGCTGATGTGAAGCTGAGGTACAGGTTACACCATGCACGATTGAGCGACAAGTGAGACAGCAATTCTGGTGCTGACTGTCGGGTGCTTGAGAGGTCGGCTCAGACGCCTCAGGCATTTCCGGAAGTTCCTGAATGCAACGGAGGCTGTGAAGCGGAAACACAAGAATCACTAGAAGGCAGCCGTTCATCCTCGAAAGTATTGGGCACAGTGAAATGAAACCATGCTGTACCAATTCTAGCGTCGCGGCCTGCATGAAGCGCTCCGAAATGAGCGGCCGTCAGATCTTCGGTTTAGAATCTAGCTGCTGCTTATTACACCGAGGAGCACTCTGGTCGGTCTTCTGGTGCTAAACGAAGGGACCCGTAATACTCGGAACCCGTTCCTCCCCTCCGGTGCTCAGCATCTCACTGCAGCCTCCGGCTTGGGCGGCCGAGAGGGGCCTTGAGGCACCTTCGGCTTGGAAGGCCCTGGACAGGTGCGACTCGGAGTGCGACTGCGTCCCATGTGCTGCACACATCCACTAGCTCCAAACAGTCAGACTTGACAAGATGCCACTGACATGACACAGTCTGATTTTCGCCACAAAGACTCCGAGAGATCTCCAAATTTCTGAATGCCTCGCCCGGTTCGAATCCAGGATTTTGCGAAAGTTCCTGCCTTGTGGGGCTGCAGGCTTTGCAGGGCCTGCCTTTCAGTGCAAGGCAGGGCAACGTGTCAGCTTTACATATCAGGCCACGGCCAGGACACACAGCTGTTGGCTGCAAGCGCGTCAGTTCAAAAGCAAAGCGAGTGTAAACTTGAACACTACGGCGTTCAGATATTGGTACGGAACACTGCGGGTGCAAGGTGGAGCATCCGCTCCGTGCCGGCACTGCGTGGCGTGGCGTGCCGTGGTGCCTCCGCCGCAGGCACTGCAGGCCCGGCCGCACTTGGCCCAGCCGCTGGCCCGGCGGCAGGCCCGGCCGAGGGCCCCGCGCTGGGCCCCGCAGTCGAAGGACCCGCAGGACCGACCTCGACCACGCCGCGTAGCAGGCAAACGACGTGAAACCAGCAACTGCATCAACTGCAGCAAAGCCGCACTGGGCCCTGCAGATGGACCGAAGGACTGAAAGTTTGCACCTCGGGACTGCGAGAGCTACGAGTAACACGAAGGAAACTTGCATGAAATGCTTTCGTGCAGTTGTCTCTCCAAACAGTGGCAGTCCGCTAGAAAACAAGCGGTCGCGTAAGGCATAGGACCTGATTTTGATTTGCGAGGAGCAGACACTCCATGCAACGACAACGACACGACATCACTTCCTGCAATACGGCAACCATGTTACTAAGAATCACTATTCCACAACTTTTCGCACCGCTGGCCGAGGGCGAAGCTAGAGAAGTCCAGCTTGTTCCCCGAGCTACCACCAAGCAAGTTCCGGATCGCCTCCGACAGCTCACACTTTCCTTCTACTTGGAGTGTAGTGACCCGACAGCTCATTTCGTAGAACTGCAGCGAAGACGAACAAGGGTTCATGGGAGCATGTAGCTATGTAGCACCCAAGTGCATCAACCTCCTCCAGTTAGGCATTGCGCGGACACACTGCACCCGCGAGCCTTGTTCATGTCATGCTTTTGCTGATCGTCTTTCTCCTTGTCCTGCCACAAATACTCAATCAAGACTTCAGTCGCATGATGTCGTATCATCTACGACTCACCCGAATTGAAGCTTCAACATCAAAATAAAAGCTTTGGTACCCTCGTGGCAGCTTTATGGTGCTTTGCCCCCCTCCTTTGCTGCGCGTCTCTCCCTTCGGATTCTCTTGGCTCGATCCTTGCAAACCAGCGAGCTGTACGCAATAGTTATCTAAAACAGCATGTGCTTCTGGAACCGATATCTCGTGAAGACCGGTTCGACGAAGCTTTGAACGCGTCTGCTGGCGAAGAACAACTTTCGCCAGCAGTGAGCACCTTCCTACGTTGCAAAGGCATCAGGGGCAGCGGTAAGGCGCTGGCATGATCTGTTTCGAACTCCTTCCGCCAAACAATCGATTGATTACAAGCGAAGAGGTGCAGTGAGACGACATGGGCGAACATCTGCTTTAATGTAGTACAGCTTTCTCAAGCTGCTTAGGGTACAAGATCCGAGCAGTGAGCCCATCTGCAAACAGCTGGAAGCATACAGACTCCAAGTCCTCCTGGGTGCCCTTCTTACGGCCCAGAGACGTGTCGACGTCATCTGCGACGGTCGGGTCCTGCAACACAGGTCCGAACATATGCGGCCTCTTCTACTTGTCAGTACACAAAGCACTCAATCCACTTGCCTTGAGGAGCTCTGGACCATAAACCGACGACCTGGGCATTACGCGGGGATTGTTGGCAATTCGGAATCTGCTAAGGCTGCTAGGGATTGCTGGAGTCGAAGCCCTGCAGTAATAAGACATAAAACGAGTTCGAAGATCGTCCGCTTGAACTTACAGAGTATGCTGCAATTTCATGCAGCCGCATCGCATGAGTCCAAGTTCTTCGTATACCGCCCTGCATACTTGAATGAAGTAAGTTGGTTGTGTGCAGGAATACCATTAGACATTCGGACGGCCTGAGCATAACCAGGTAACCATGAACCAGCCCTGGAGCATCGCGGTGAAAATGGGAAGAGCTTTGCTGGCCGACTGGACACTCGCTGCTGAACCAAGGCTGTGAGGCTCAGGCATTGCCAAAGGCCGGCAATGGGCGACGCTCAGCCAAACGGCAATGGCATGTGTAGAAATGAGAGCTCTCAGGCTGCGAAATGTTTGATGTCTCAGGTCTCAGGTACATCACGTGCTTTCCCGACAAACCTGCTATATGAGCTTCTAATCACTTTGGATCGGTACAGAACGCAGGCGGCAGCATGCTACGAGCCATGGGTGCAACTGAGAAGCACTTGGACATCCACAGAGAGAGAGAGAGAGAGAGAGAGAGAGCGAGAGACGGAGAAAAACAAAACTTTTGTCACTCCATCGCAGGCTTCTGCAAATCAATCCCGCAGCTTGCTGCCATGGCTCCTGACACTGGACAAACCCGCCCCCACACTCCAAAAGTCTGCGGCTTCCCTAAGAAGGCCAAGGCTTGACCTCGGTATATAGTGTCCCGACACCGCCTTTAGATGACGGCTGTAACTCCTTTTCAACCCGATCGAGGAGTCTGCGCATTTACATGCTGCCTAGCTCTAAACATCCCAGCGTGGCCTGCATCGCGACGTAAAGGATGAACGATGCGCAGAGAATGAGGGTCGTCCCACCCAGGATGATGGCGAGGAACGCCTGGGCGGACAGCAAGAAGGGACGTCCTATATGGTCATGCCTGCGGGAGACAATGAAGCAAGCAGGAGCCAGGAGCCAGCTTTTGTCACCTCGTCTATGCCAATCCGCTGGTCCAGCACCGGGTGGGATACCCCGTGCAGGCGCCACGCAGCTATGCCAAGATGCCTAGGGAGTTGCCGCCACAGTAAATGTACGGGGGCATGCCTCATGGGAAACACCAACTCCCTTTCCCAGTACGGTGTAGCAATGTAGCAATCGTGTGCTCCACCAGATGATCTGCAGAGAACAGACCAGGTTGATGGATTACACAAGAGCTTCGTTCTAGCATGCTACGCACAACAAATTCATCATGGCCCCAATTGGGCTGTTCCGAAAAAACTTGGCCATTCACAGCTCTTTCTGGATCTTGAATCCCAGCTAGTTGTGGGCCTCGATCCAAAATTATAGGGGGGGACCAATCCAAGGCCGTGTATCCCGATTTGTTGGGACTGGCAAGAAGACCTTGAAGTGACCTGCATTGGTCCCACACAGCACCTGAATTGCAGAGCGATGGTCTTGCCAATGCGCTCTGTCGGCCGGCAAACCGTACCAGAGAAACACTCATGGAGATTCCAGGACCAGGAGCTAGGTAAGACTCGATCAGTAGTAATTATCCGGGATGGTCGGCTGACAAGATCCGTGCGTATTGAAAGCAATTGCAGCTGCTGGGACTAGCAGCCCAGCGCATGGGCTTTCCAAAAATGAATTCTGAAATCCTCACCGGCTGCATCTGGAGTCAAGTGCGCATTGTGCTCACTTGCCAATGTGAAGCGGCACGGTCAATGTTGGAAAATGGAATAACAGACAACCTCGTGACACGAAATCACGCACGTCCGCGTCCGTGCACTTAGTTAGCATGTCTGCAGAACGCCTATGCTGGAAGACTTCGGTTCCGCCGTTCGTGGTAGCAGGCTCAGCAGGAGATCTCCGGCGTACCCCAGGAACGGCAACTCCTGTCAATTCAACTGCCTCCTGCGACAGGTACTGACCAGTTCCAAGCATGGACCCAAAAGGGCAACCTGGCCCTCATTTCCCACGTGCCTCTCCGCGTTCTGTGGCTTCACCGGCAGCTTCAGCATGTCGGTGAGGCGCTTCTGCGACTTTGCAGATTCCAGGACTCCTTCTTGCAATGCGTATCGGCTGAAGATCCCCGGCAATATCCCAGGCGTGCTTACGCACACCCCGCCGGCATTGCCTCCAGCCAAGACTACGAAATCTAGCAGAATCTAGCAAGTGCCCTCCCGTCTTCTGCAATGCTGTTTTTTTCGCAATGTGCAGTCCTTTCGTGAGCAGCGTGGGCAAAGCCCGCACAAACTCGAAACACTGTGACCTCAGGAACCCCCCAGAGCGGCTAGCGACGGCGGGCCCCGGCTTGCAGTGCGATGTCTCTCAGTCTCGGCGCACTTGTCGCCTCTGCTTGCCGAGGCACTTAGACTCCAGGCCAGCCCAGGAGACTGAGACACGGACTTTTCCGGCATCTGCGCGGGAGGCAGATTCCACAGCGATTGGACAGCCGTGCCATGCGACCCTACTCTGACCCTTAGTTGAGGGTTGAGCGGCCTTCTCCCGAGGACTCTTGAGAGACCCGTAGCTTGGTGAAGCCAAGCTGTCCCAGACGACTTTGAAGTTCCTTCAAGAGCTTCTTCTGACCTCTCATCGCAGTCGGAGCAGCTTCAGCTTTCTGCGTGGAATGCGCCGCCTTCTTGCTGGTGTAGCGACGGCAAGTCGTCTGTCACGATCTCAGCCGAGTATTCACAGCGCTTGCTGGCCTCGAGCTCTGAAATGCGCAGAAAGCCATGTGCCAGAGAAGTCAACACTGATGCGCCCGAGCGGCGGCGACGCACGTCGACTTGATGCTGGCCACCTGTGACTTCACCTGAAGTCTCGTTCATCGAAGCGACAGCCCCAGCGTCTGTGGCTTAAATAAACACCGGAATCGGCCGAGTTGCCCAGCGCTCACTCATCACAGCATCTTCGGCTTCGCGGTTGGCCTTGCACAAACGGAGCTGATCAGCAAGCCCCAGATACGATGAAGAGGAAGTCTAGCAAGGCTGTCCTCCGTGGGTCGTTGAGACGGGATTTTAAGTGACCCATTTGCTGCGCCTGCTCCTGCACTGCATTGATGGCCAAACACCTTGCGAAAGTCATGGTTGACCTGTCAAGCCAAACGCTTGCCACACGGGTCACGCGACGAGACTAACGGCCCTTGAGCCCGCTTCCCGCCAGTGCCTGGGGGCTGTGCGATGCCAGGGTTCGCTGGTCGGTGACGAAACGTCGCTGGCAAGTCGGAGCGGCCGAGATGCTGCGCAACGCAAGTTTCAGAGTGCGTCAGACATATCTGCGACAACGCGTGAGCGCCGTTCCAAGCCGCGGTTGTCTGCCGTGTCTTCTGGCTACAGAGCTCTCAGAAATCTAGGTAATTCTCGGTATGGGCACAGCGCAGACCCTGTAGATTCTGTAGGTCTTGCTTCAGGGAAACCCTGGACTCCGAACTGTTGTGCAAGCTAACTGATGGGCAGACTTGGACAGCCGAGCTCGAAGCGGGTATCCGAGAGTCAAAAAGCTCTGCTCCCAGCAAGCCTCGGCCAAGACAACACAAGGCTCCTGGGAAGCGTGTACATGTATGAAAAAGCAGGTTTAGATGCATGTGGACCTGTATGTGTAGGTGTGTACGCATTTGAGTACACTTCACGAAATATACACACCCACATGTACATATATGAGCACACACGCACGTGAACATGTCATTAGGCAAACACAAAAGTATGGACAAAGGGAGATAAACAAACATCATGCATCTCATACATTTCAGTATTCCATGCATGATCATAACAATCATATGGGATCTTAAACGTCAATGAATCAGTCAGTTGTGAGTACATCGAATTTTGTCAGCGCTGTTTATGTTTCCAGCAGCCAAGAGCCCTGACTACCTGCGCGCATGGTCCGTGCTGCAACATCCTCTGATGTGATACGATCCGAGTTGGAATCTAGGTGCCCTGTTCCTGTACAAGACACCAAGCACCCGAAATGGGCCTCAAGGTCAAGAAGCTGGACTGCAGGCCGCATAGGATCTAAGAACCGAATTTTGAGCTTCAGCACGGTTATGGAGGCTTCCATTCGAAGCTCGGTCCGGCTTGGTACTGCAGCTGTAGGGGCGCAGCGCTTCTGGGTCTCGCAAGTGGTTGGGCTTCGAGCGGGGTTTGAAAAGAAGATGGTGCATAAAACTCACGATAGATATTAGGTTTGCGACCGAACAGCGGGGACGCTGCTGCTGATGGTGTACTGGAAAATGTAATTGTCATGGTCGGTCCGGGTAGGGTGGACGACTCGGAGAGAAAGCATCGTGGCTTACTTCTTCAG